TTCCTGCTTATTATCGGAAGTCAATTAGTGAGCCGGTACAGGGAAACGGGTCAATGTCTCAGCCTTCAGCATACCAAAACAAGCAGAAAACCTAGAGTAGAAAGAACGAGAGCCGCTATCACAGCGCTAGTGTTAGATCTGAGAACTGAGGGATGTTATGATTGACTATAGGAACAAACCTCAAAAAGAAACATACACAAATAAGCACAAAGGAAAATTTTACTCATGCCTAGTACAGCTGGATTAGATATTTAAAGAGACAGTTCATGCAAAAATCCCTTATTCACCCACAAATCCATTTAACACAAAGCAGGAAAGCTACTGAATGATTTGGGATATATTACATGAGGTGCTTTTTAAGGCAACACTCTAAAAAAAAAATGATGCCACAATCCGCTTGTTAAGTCGGGACATAAGGGTCCAAGCCTCCACTCGTTTCAATTGAGAATACCATGTCGACGGCTGTTTATGAGCACGATTTATTCATATTACACATTTAAGCTAAACTTTTAAAAAACTTACAGTGTATACAGTGAGTCTCTGTGCTCATGGCATTACAGATACGAATATCTTAACGATTTACAAAAGATGAATCACTATCTGGCCATCTGAGATTTTGGTATGGAGATAAAGGTTATGATTCGAATTTTTTATAGTATTACACCACATTGTGCATGTAAATTAGCACCGTTTGTTGTTTTCTTGTGGTGCGACATAGAGCTTTTCATTTGGACCCGGAAGCGGTGATGCGTGACATCAGACTTAACAAGCGGATCAGTTATAACAACTTAAAATTTGCTGAGATAAATACAACTAAATTAAAGTTACGTAAACTTATAATTTTAAGTCAAGCACAAACACTTACTTTTATTATTATTATTATTATTATTATTTATTTTTTGTATTTTTACTCACTTTTTTTAGTTGAAACAATGTATTATTACCTTATAGAAGCCTGTTTCCGCTACTGAATAAAAAAATAAAAAAGGTAATTGTGACTTATGTGTTTATCTCACAATTCTGACTTTTTTTCTCATAATTGCGTGACACAAACTCGCAATTCTGACTATTTTTCTCAGAATTACGTGATATAAACTCGCAATTGCGAGTTAAAAAGTAATAATTGTGAGATATAAACTCGCAATTCTGAGAAATAAAGACAGAACTGCGAGATATAAACTCACAATTCTGACTTTTTTTCTCAGAATTATGTGATATAAACTCGCAATTGCGAGTTATAAAGTCAGAATTGTGAGATATAAACTAGCAATTCTGAGAACATATCGGTCTCCCCCCCTCCTCAAAATTGGGTTTTAACTCGCAATTGCAAGTTTATATCACGTAATTCTGAGAATAAAAGTCAGAATTGCGAGAAACATGTCAGAATTGCGAGAAAAAAAAGTCTGAATTGCGAGATATAAACTCGCAATTACGAGAAAAAAAGTCAGAATTGTGAGAAAAAAAGTCAGAATTGCGAGAAAAAAAGTCAGAATTGCAAGATATGAACTCGCAATTGCGAGAAAAAAAGTCAGAATTGCAAGATAT